AACCGGAACCGGAACTCCCCCCGCCCCCCGCGCGCCCCCCACGCGCCCGCCTGTCCGCCCGGCCGGCCCGCCGGCACGGGAGACTCAGGCCAGCGAGACTGTGGGCTAGAGGGGGGGCGACAGCGGAAAAGGCGTGCTGACCACTCCCTCCAACCTTCACGGTCCGGGAGGGAAAACCACCGAGAAGAGCTCTGGGCTAGAGAGGCCCTGTGAGCGGGCGCCCCCAGGCCGACGGGAGGAAGACAAGGACTTGGAAAGGGGGACCAGGGCACCATCCCAACGCTCTGGTGAAGACGGTAGTGGAGTAATGAACTGCTTCGTCTTGGCGCAGTGCGTTTAGCTTTCCATAGCGCTTGATTGCTTTTCGTTTCCTTCTCTTCCTGCTCAAAGCCCAGAGGGCTGAATAGGAGAATGCACTGTTTATTCCATTTTACGAACAGGAGAGGTGAACTCAAGAGAGTAAATGACTTGGCAAAGTTAACCAACAAGTTAGCAGTAAAGCTGAAACCTAGAATCCAGATCTTCTGGCTCGTAGCCGGGAGCTCATTTCACAGATAAAGTGCCTCAGTAACCACCGCAGGCGACAACTTCAACCCAACTTTTCCCCTGACCTTTAACCTAACCTGCTTAAGGATTTTAAGTTTATTATGCCCCAGCTCCAAAGAATCTTTTGTACTAGGACTTCTCTTTGGGATCTTTGTTACCTTTGACCTCTTCCTCTTTCCCTGCTCAGTGGTTCAAACCATTCCTGGTGTGATAGCCTGTCCCATCCCAGGAGGACCCCACTTACTCCCGCCCACTTACTCCTCCCTTGATTGGCCACAAGTCAAGCTCAGCTCTAGGCACTTTTAGTGGGAAGAGCTAAATACTATTCAAATAAGAGAAGAATGACACTGAAGAGGAGTTGGTTGAACCCAGTTTATTAGACCAGAGGCATGCGTCACCCACAGCCCTGCCTGCTGTTTCCCATCCAGTGCACACCGTTTGGCCTTGCTCCTGCTTCCCTCCAGAGAGGTCTGATGTCTAAGGAACTCCCAGGAACCAAGAGTTCCCAAAGATTCTATAGCCTAACTCTCTACCTCCAGGCCAATGCACAGGTGGCCTGCCACAGGTCTTGTTCTGGGGTTAGCTGGACAAGAAGGCCAGAGAAGGGGCAGGGCTCTGGTGTGGGAGGAGTGCCTGGTGGACAGGGTATGGCAGGTCCTCTACCTTACCGGTTTCTCATTAAGGTAGGAAGGGAGGGACAAACAGTGGAGCTTTCAACTTCCCCTCTAGGCATGTCTCTTTCCTCCTTCTACCAAACCGTACCTTACCAGAAACTATAAGTAGTGGGCTTGGGTATTAGGTGAGCAAACAGGCCTGGGCACCCCAAAAGGGGGAAAGGCCACTGACTGAAGACCTCAGCCTCTGCCTATCAGCACCCCACTACTTCAGCTGAAGGAGTCACCAATCCACAGCTCCCTTTGTCTCTGCCATCCTTGACTTAGTGTGCAGAGCAGATCTCCATCCCATGGGTGGGGGTTCTTTCTGTACAACCCCCTTTCCTGGGGAGGCCACAGTCAGCCAGGCAAAGGGCATTGGGGTGGATGGAGCAGGGGAGGGAATGTTAAGGCTGCAGGGAGGGTAAAGGGTGCCTAGGGTGTGGGGAAAGGGTGAGGCCAGAAAGAGGCAGAGCTTGTAATTCACAGCTTCCTTTATGTCGCCACCGAGACAGTGCGAAGGTTACAATGCGCGTGTCGTCTCCTTGTGCTTCTTAGAGGGATGTATGTACACAGTACAGACACCAGGGGAGAGTCCAACTCTTTATACAGGCGAAGGCATTCAGAGACCGGGAGGAGGTGGAAACACAGAAAAGGGAGCTTGGGGTGGGAAGATGGTTCTTAGAGACAAGAGGAGGTGGGACAGAGACAGAGTCAGGGGAAAGTATATACAGAGATATAGCAATATAGAGTCTGTATCATATAGAAATAGAAAATGCAGATGAGGTTGTTGAGAGGAGCAAATGAAGTTTCAGAAGGGGACTTGGGAGAGTTCCATAAGAAAATTTATGGATGTGGCCCTCTGCAGGAGCCCCTGGGAGAGGGACCAGTGAGGTTAGGCACTAGTGCCCCTCTCCCTGAGCTGGAAGCCAACCAGCTGGATCTTTTATGGAATGGTAGAGGAGGGCTGCCTCTTGAGACATATTTGCAGCAGCTCTGGGGTGGGGGTGATCTTGTAGGTATCAGGATGTGGCCTACAGCACCAGGGCCATATCTTGTCCCCATCTCCACTTCTTCAGGGGATCCCCCACCCCCACCTCCCTAGAGACTTCACACTGTGTGAGGTGGTGAGGGGGAGCGGAGAAGTGACATGGACTAGGGTTCCTGCCTGGAGACTTGGGTTTGGGGGAGTCACTTGGCTGACAGGGTCTCTTAAGGCTGGGCAAGCCCCTCCCACTAGCCCTCCCCTTCAAGGTACATTCTCTGGTTTGGGGCCAAATTCCAGACCCCTAGGATCCCCCTCCAACCCCTAATGGGAGGGGGCTTTGGTGACTGGTGGCAGCAGAATGTAGGCGGACACTCAGATGACAGTCAGACAGACAGACAGAATTTAGGCTGGGAGCTGTGGGAGGCAGCATGGAGCAGAGAGGGGCAGCCTGAGGTCACTTGCCCCATTCTCTCTTCTTAGTTTCTGTTTAAGATTAGTTTTGTTTAAAAAAAAAAATGGGAATAGAGGCAGGGAGAGGACTCTATGGTCAAGACTCCTTCCTCACCACAGACAAGAGGAAAGGACTGCCTGGGAGTAGGGGGCTGCCTTGGAAGCAGGGAGTAAGTCCCCAGGACAGATGTGAGGGGGCAGCTGGGGGCCCCCATTGCTCTCCTAGCCCTCCTCATCTAGGCCTTTGGTACAGTGGCCTGCGGGACTCAGCAGGTAAAGTCCTCAAAAGTGCCTCGGGCCGGATGGTGAGGTAGGATGTTGGCAGCGTACGTCATCCCGGCAGGATGGCCCCGGAGGCTCTCACACGGGTTCTGGGGGAACGGCACAGGACAGGGACTGGTTATCGGAAGGGCCACAGGTGGTGCTGGGGCATGGGGGAGGCAAAGGAGAAAAGGTGGCAAGGGGGATGGTCCTAGGGTGGTCGGGGAAGGGATAGGGCCGGAGGGCGCCCCTCTTGCTCCCTCACGTGTCTTTTGACGTCATCCAGGCTGAGGGCCACACCCTTGTCCGTGCTGGTCCTTTTGGCCTCCTTCTGGCACTTCCCTCGTCTGCACACCTTGTGTTTAATGACCTGGGAGGGAGGTGAGGGGGCGGGGGTGGGTAGGTAGGCTGGAACCCCGCCCCTTCCTGGGGCCCCGCCCAGGCGCCCCCGCCCCCCCTTACCTCGTAAGCATAGTCAAAGAGCTCCAGCACCGTGAGGATGCTGGCCCCGATGAACAGCCCCATCTGGCCCCCAATGTCACCTATGGGGTGGGCACAAGGAGGTCAGTGGGGTCAAGACAGTGGGAGCGGCAGAACTCGCTGGGACAGGGACAGGCAAGTCGTATTTACAAAAGGACTGACAACCTTCATTACAGAAGGAGCACAGAAGTGATTCTGTGTGTTGGATTTTTTTTCTTCTTTATGGTTTTCTCCATTTTTCTACTTTTCTAAAATGAACTGGTATTATTCAGAAAAAGTAACTATTTGCAAAATACCCCAACACTCTTATTCTCTGGGAAATTTTTCAAGGGCATATGAAATAGTCTCCCATTTGTCCCCAGTTGTGCCTGTCTCTTTCACTTTGCCCTAAGAGAAGGCTCAGTACTCTCCCCCACCACATACCAAGACAACAGAGTTTGGGGGAAGGCCCCTGGGGCTGGCAGGGGAGGAGACCTTGGAGGACAGAGGTAAGCAGCCTGATTTGGGTGGCAGGGTGTCACACCATGTCCACAGCATGGGAAGGGAACAGGTGCCATCAGCAGCTCACCCAGGAGCCCTGCAATCTCATAGGCTTTCTTCTGCTCAATGGTCTCATAGTTGAGGACTTCAAAGAAAATGTCCAGTACCAGGATGTTCTCCCTGCAAAGGGGTTGGGAGAGGAGACCTCAGTTCAAGTCACATCTCTGACCCTTACTAGCTGGGTGACCTTAGCAAGTTATCTTCTCTGAATCTCAGTCCCCATATCCATAAGACGAGATGCTGATGGGGTACCTGCCTTTTAAAGTTGTTGTGAGGATTAAATGTGATGGTATAACTGAAAAGACATTCTGCACACCAGCAATTGTGAGGTGATCCCAGTTACAGCAATGAGGATGGAGACAGAGGAGGAAAGAGAAAGAGGCACTTCCCCCGTTTGTTCTGGTTTGGTCTTCCCTCCATGCCCACCCCAGATTCTGGTTGCCTTCTCCGTATTATCTCAATTTGCTCCTGTCTGCTGGTCTCCATCAGAGCCCGCCCATACTCAAGGATCCAGTCCCAACCCAAGGATCCAACACAGTCAGAGCCCTTACCCTATGTACTGCTCAGATTTGTTGAACTTCTTGGCCAGGTACTTGGCTGACGCTTTGCTGGGGATCTTGACCATGGACAGCTCCTTGCCGTAGCGGGTCAAGTTGCAGGGCATTTCACACACACAGTACTCCTGGTCCTTCTCCACCAGGAAGTCTGTGCCAGCCAGGTGAGAGGTGCTAATTGAGTGGTGCCCCTCTGCCAGCACCTTCCCAACACACACATCCTGGCCCTGCCAAAAGGAACCCTGGGCCCTCTTCTCTTTTTTTGACTTTTCCTTCACCTCAGCCCTTTGCCTACCTGTGCTGATCTGCATCCAGCCTCCCCACAGATATTTCTTAATCCTATATCTCATTCTCTCAGGGCCCTCTGGGGTCAACCAGCTGGGGTGCTGATGAGAGCAGGTAAGAGCCACCCCTCCCAGATGACCCCTGTTCATTTTTCATAGGGACCAATAAAAGGTGCCATTTCCAGCATCGCTAAAGTCAGATATAGGAGAGTTCAGGTGAAGCCTGATCCAGGAGTTATTTGAAGCTTCTAGGAGCTTGCTTTGAAACCCCTATGCATATGGCTGACAGCACCTCCTTCCCTCCCCCTGGACTTCCCGGGACAGGGAAGCTCACCTAGAGCAGGATCTGCACACTCCTTGTACTGCTCTGGAGTGCAGTATGGGGCATCCCCTATAGAGGAGAAAAGACAGTGGTGCAGGATGGAGATTAAAGGGGTCTTGTGACAGTGGTAGTACGAAAGGCCTAGAAGCTGGAGGCTGGGAGAAGATGGAAGGATAGGAATAGTTGGTCCCCAGTCTGTCCTGGAGGTGACCCACCCCCTAGGCCATCCATCCTGGACCCTTCTCACCATCCCTATGGGTCCAGGCAGGAACTGAGGTCAGAGAGGCAAGAGCCATATGGGTACAGGCTGAGGCTAGAACTGGAGTGGGGAGAAGCCAGCTGGTCTTGCTTGTACAGTGGCATAAGGTTGATACACATGGGGAGCTGGTCAGGGGCAGTGCAGGCTGAGGGGCCCCAGGACCCTGTTTGGAACTTTGGAGCCTGACCTGGCATGTGCACCATGCGACAGTTACAGTTCTCCACCAGGTAACGTGTCTCACAGTCGATGCGGCAGGCGGTAATGCTGTAGGAGTCGAAGAAATCCAAGTCCATGGTAACAGCTTTGCAGGTGCCCCAGGGCGGGGGCAGGTAGATGAGCTGCTGGGAGAGCCGGGGAGCTGGGGGGTGTGGGGACTTCTCCCCAAGTCACCTTGATGGAATTCTCTGACAAGACGCAGAACTCAGGAGTTCTGCCCCCTCTCCCTCTGCAGCCTCTGAGGGTCTCAGAGTTTACAGAGCATTCCCGTCCATTAGAACATTCATGCTTCTGACTAGTCAGATGGCTACCCAGGCCCTCGCTCACCTGGCCGTCCCAATACTGATGGCCCTCCACGCCATCTTGACACCCCCAACCCCGACCCTGGGTGGGACCAGCCTCCTGTGGCCCTCTCACCCGCTGCTCTTGGCAGGCCACAAAGGTCTGGAACCCTGGGGCTACGCCGAAGCCCAGCTGGTCAATGAAGGGAGGTTCATCCTGACTGTGGATCTGCACTTTGATGCCTGCTTCGAATGACGTCTCATCTATGGGAATGAGAGGGGTCTGTGTTGGGAGGGCTTCATACTCCCTAACCTCCTTCAGAGCCGAGGGCATCCTACCTCTCCTGAGAGAACCAAACCATACACTCGGGCTGGGGGAAGGTAGTTAGTCCAGGGGCCCTACCCATCCCCAGCCTCCTTCTGGATTCACCATCCCCATGCTGCCCTGATGACCCCTGCAGCCTACACACTTTTTTCTTACCTGGTTTCAGCTACGCATCTCGGGGTTTCATAGTCTTTCTCAGACGTTCTCTATTTCTCCCCTTCCTTTCCTCCCTTCTCCCCCACCTCTCTCTGCCCCAAGGCCCCTGAGACCAGACAGACGGTAGGCAGCCCAAGAAGAGAGGGAGTTATTTATAGAGTGAGTGGCGGCCATGGATGGAAAGGGATGGCTGGTTACCTTGGAGAGTAACTGAGCCTGGAAGGGGGAGCTGGAGAAATGTGAGTGTGACAGGCAGGTAGAGTCGGAGATGGAGATGGCGAGCTGCTGGGAGGAAGCGGGGAAGAGCCCAGATCCTGCCCCGGGCCCACAGTAGAGCCCGGGAGTCCCCTGGCAGAGGCTAAGCCCTGGAGCCATGGGGAGGGGCCCCTGAGAGAGGTGACATACCGGTCTCCCCCCATACGGGCAGGTATTCATCCTGCTGGATGTCCAGCATGATTTCCAGCCCATTGCCTGTCCCACCCTTCATCGTCTTCAGCCGTGGACGCCCATCTCGGCCAGAGTTGAACGTGTAGCATTTTCCATACCGTGTGAAGACCTGGTGGGGGCAGAGTGGAGAGCCTGAGAGTCCTGCCAGCACCCCCTGCCCAGCAAGGACTGACTCCGGACCCCTCCAGCTGGTGGAGTCTCAACCCTTCAGGAATGACCCCTCCTGAGCAGCCCATTCTCCATTTGTCCTCCTTCCTGTCCATTCCCGTCCCTTTGCCCTGCTCTGTGCTCTGGAAAGCTGACCCCTGTGAGGTGCACTGCCTGTGCTCCTTTGCCACCTCGATGGGCTTCGGGTTGGGTTTGACCAATGAGAGGGATCAGTAAAGGATCAGAGGAAAGAAGGAGGGAGAGATCAGGGTATTTATCTGTGAGTGTTCTGGTGGTGACTTAGACCCTCCATGACTACAAATCCTGCTGAGAGGGCTCCCTGCAGAGCCCTGTTGCCTCCTTGTGCTACTTGAGCCTGAATGTGACAATTTCCCACTATTTCTAGGTGCCTCAGCCCCCCTCGTTGGTTTCCTTAACTCTGCCCACAGCTCTATAAACAGCCCCTTTGTTGCAGTCTTTTCAGTTAAACTATCCAAGTGGTAATCTTTTCCCTGCTGGGACCCTAACATCCACGCCTCCTTCATCTGGATCCTATCACTGACATACCCTTGGTCCCTCCTTGGGCCCCTCTTCACAGGCCCAGGGCCTTCTGAGACAGACCTTCTCTTCTCCTGGGATTTCACCCCAGGCATCTGAAAGCCTGCTCTCCCAGAGCCCAGGCTAAGCTTTTTAGTTCACTCTGGCCACTAGACCCTTTTGCCCATCATTATTCCATTATCACCAGAACCTGAAAGTAGACCCAGTTGCCATGAACATCCAGGACCTGGCATGTTTGGCAATGCTTGTGCGGAACTATGAGGGCTGCAGAAGAGATCTAAGCCCTGGGGGCAGTCCCCACACCTCATGCCGCAGAGCAGCCGTTATTGCAGCTCTGATTACACAGCTACAAAGAGAAGAGTGAACCAATTCTTTACGGCCTTTTCCCTGCAGCCTCCCAGAATGCCTCCAAGTTCCCACAAATGGGTGAGTGTGCTTTTACTACTGCTAGATGGTGACAAAGTCCACAAAGCAAGTCATAAGGTAAGTACAGACACAGCCCAGAGAAAGAGAGACAGAGTGTCAGGCTGGACTGGAGCAGATGGTGGTGGGGGGGGGTTGTGGATGTTACTAGGTAATAGAGTCCTTGCCCTCTTCCCCCTTCTTGTAACAGCCTCCTCCCCCCACCTCTGGGAGAGAAAACAAGAGCTCTCCCCAATTTTGTGGGTGAGGTCCAGACACGAAGTAGAGAGAAAACGCCTAATCCCCCAGCCCCACTACCAGGTTTTGTGGCATTTAGCCACAGACTCCAGACTGGACACACACCCATGCCTGCCCTCTACCTGGGGATGTGAGGGACTCCCAGTGGCTGAGGCAGGCTGGGAGCTGCAGCCCTGTGCTGCTCACAGGGCTGTGCCGCTGACTGCTGTACTGCTGCTGCCACCTGGTGGCTCTTCAGGAGAAGTGTCTGCTCTACCCTTAGGTCCTGAGGAAGCGGGGTTGACCCCTTCCTTGTCCCATGTTCCTCTGTCGCCCAGCCTGAGGCCCAGTAGCCAAAACCTCCAGGTCCCTGTCTGTCTGCAGTCAGCCCACAATGCACTAATATTATGACACCCACCTTCCCCTGCTCTAGAGAGGAGGTGAGGGACTGAGAGACGGGTGTGTAGGGAGGGAAGACCTGGCATCTGGCAATTGGAGGGGACAGGAGAGGAGTCAGGCCAGATAGAACTGGAAGCAGAACTGGAGAGAGGACAGGGTGACCCTTGGTCCTCCTGCACGGAAGGCCCGAGACTCTCCTAATGAGGGCTTCCCTTCCCTAGGAAGAGGGTCCTTGGCCACACAGACTGGGGGGAAGTGGGGAGGATTTAGAGGAGGCCTGTTATCCTCCCTCAGAAACACACACACACACACACATACACACACACAGTCGGAGGAGCACAGGAAGACCACAAGAGGATACAATGAAGTCCCTGCTGTAGGAGCTGCTGACAGGGGTGTGGAGGGCAGAAGAGAGGGATATCCCCACCCCTCTGCCTCCCTTCCACACCCTCCTGCACCTCCAGAGACCAGGCGGCACCTGTCCCAGTTTCAGTCCAGGGGTGATAGTCCAAATCGTTAAGACCAGGCATAGAAACCTACCATCAGATCAAAGGCTGACCGCAGAGACAGAGTAAGGTCCTGACCCTGAGGATCACAGGGCAGTCTGGGAAAGGGCTGGAGATGCTGGAGGATATTTAGGCAGACACCAGGGGCCTCAGGGCAGCAACTAATTACCAACTATGTGTTTCAAGTTCTAACATGGAGAACAGTATTGGCCCAGTTGTGGAAATAGCAGGCCAGCTCCAGACCCTGGGGCTCCCAGGTGAGCCCTGACCAGGCCTCTCTGCGGCATGTCACAGAGGGTGGGTGGTCCAGGTGCGATCCGGGAGGGGCAGAACAGCCACCAGCCCCAGTCCCCACCCCAGGAGGTGACAGTCAGGGAGAGCCATGGCAGACAGTGTTGGGGGGCCATGCTGGGCAGGGGCCCCCACTCACCACTGAGAAGTTGTGAGGGCCACAGGGCCCCCCGCAGTAAGAGCAATAGAGCAGCATATCCTCCAGCCGGTGGCAGGAGCGATTGTAGAAGCTGTGCAGGTTGAAGGGCTCCCCAGAGAAAGCCTCGGGCCCTGGCGGGGCAAGGGGCACCCCGGGGTCATCACTTTCATCCAGCCCCAGCATGGGGGCCAGGTAGAGCAAGTCAGGGTAGCTGAGCTGGGACAGCCGCACGGCATTGGTGTTGCAGAAGGTGACCGCCGGGAAGGCCAGCTCCGTGGTGGCCACTTCATCTAGCAGAGTCACATGTGGGTAGCTGAGGTAATAGGCAACTCGATCCCCTACCTGACACAGGAAGGCGCCCAGCGCCAGGACAAAGGCCACTGCCCACAGGGCCTGCCGCGGCCCTGGACCCCCCTCCACAAAGACGTGGCTGGCGCCATGGAGGGTGCAGCTATTGGCGAAGGCCACTAAGTCCATCGGTGAATCCCCCTTTCCAACCTCCTTCCTCTCTGTCTCCTTTTTCTTCTCTTCTTCCTCTTCTGACTCTGAGTTGTCCCGCTGTTGCCGCTGGTGGGGACCCAAAACATCTCCCAAGGGCCCCGGGACCTCCTCTCCAGAGGAGAATGACACAGAGCAGAAGATCTGGATGGGCATCTTCTCCAGGGCCTTCTTGGCACTGGGGGGTTGGAAGAAGAAGGGGAAGGAGATGTGATCCTAGGCAGGGTCCGGCAGGGCCAGCCACCCAGTCCTTTTGCCAGGTCTCTGCTGCCCAGCTGGCCGTCCTCCCTCGCCAGGGCCTCGGTGGCTGTGTGGCTGAGCTGGAGGCGGGGCATGGAGAGGAGAGGAGGACCAGCCTGCCCTGCCTGGGAGGGCGGGTATCTGAGCTGATGAATAATTGATGGCGGTGGGAAAGGGAGGCTGATGGAGAGGAGGAGGGCCAGAGCCCCTTTCCGGTCACCAGCTCGAGCAGGACAGGGAGAATCAAGGATGGAGTGGAAACCCTGGAAAAGCCCAGAGGCTCCTGGTACCCACCTCTCCGGGTGAGATGGGACCTAGCAGAAGCCTTTGCTGTCACTACCACGATGACTTCAACCAGCAACTGTCTCTGCTCCTCCCCCAAGACACACACACTCAGGCTCCCTCTCCTCCCACCTGAGCCTCGAGTCCCTGAGCCTCCTCTCCCTCGTTCTCACCTGGTCCAGTCATTCCTCTGAGTTACCTGAGCCCCTACACTCTCTTGGCACCTCTAATTGAAACCTAAATTCTTCTCCAATCCCCCTAACTCATAATCTCCACAATTATTTCATTGACCACCCAATTCTCTCAATACACCCTTACACCCTAGATCCCCTCTTGTTACTCCTTTGAACCTCAGTCCTCTTCCAAGCACTGTGCTGACCCCAATTTACTTTCAGTTACTTCTTGAACCCCTAATTCCCCTGAACCCCTAATCATTCCCTTGACCTTAAATTTCCCTCCAGCCATCCCTGTCACCATTTACCCTCTCTCCACCCCCTGACCCCTGGCTCTTCCAGTCAGCACCCTCCCCCATGCTGAGCTGCACTTCGGTCACTTTCCCATCCTCCACTCACTCTCTTCTGTGGCTTGGGGGGCAGCCCAGGTTCCATTAGAAGAGGTCTCTTACTGACCACAGACTCATTTATGGCTACTTCCCGGCACTGGGGGAGGGACCCTGTCTCTTACAGCTGAAAATCTTCCTGGCAGATCACCACTCCCCTTCCCAGCTTACCCACCCTCAACAGTCCAGGAGAGCAGTTCGAGGAATTCTCTTTCGGTGGGTGGAAGAAACTGAGATCAGAACAGAGACAGGCTCCTGGGTCAGGCAGGGAGTGTGGGGCACCAACCTGGAGTACCCCCAAACCCTCAGCCTCGCAGATGCCCCCAGCCCCTCAGTCTCTGAGGCTCCCTTTGCTCCAATTCATCAGTCCCTGCCCCCAGGGCCCCAGCCACTTGATGTGCTCTGATTACCCAGGGCCACTGGTTGAGGAACTTGAGCCACCAGTCAAGTCTCCAGGGCCTAGAAGGTGACCTGAGGGGAGGAGAAGAAGGGAGGGAGGGAGGTGGAGTAATATTAACCCTCCCTCTGCAGGGCTGGAGGAGCAGTGGGGCTTGGACAGTCTCCTCGGGCCTTTCCAGTCCTTAACCATCGCACAGCCCCGGGTTCCTTCCCCCTCCTTTTCTTCCCTCCCTCCCTGCTTCCCCACATCTCCCCTCCTCCATCTGCATGCAGAGACCCTGGAGTGTGTTGGGGATGCCAGGCAGGGTGCCAGGTTCTAGCGGAACTGACTGATGTGGGACCTTTGGCCTCAGCTTTGCTGCCAGGGACACAGAGGCCCCAGAAGAAGAGCAGCCTTAGAGATCTGGCCCCTCTCCATCCCTATGCCCTTGCCCTCAGACTGGCCTACTCCTCTTTTGCCTTAACAACTGCCTCCCAACTGGTCTGCCTAACTCCCCGCCTCCTTGCAGTTTCTCCTCCACCTTTAGCCCATGCTATGTAATTCTGACCTTTCTTCTGCTTAAAGACCTCTCTCACTCCCCAGTGCCTCTTGGTAAAATACAGTGCTCTCCACCCTGGACCTACAAGGTCTTGGCAACTTACCCTCCAGTCTCACCTCCCCACTCCTCCTCCTATACCCGACCCAGTCCAGCACCCAGCATCCAGCCACTGTGTCCTCCTATTCCAGATACACTAGGCTCATCCACAGTTCCATACCTTCCCTGGACTCCATCTGGAGATTTTCTACTCATTTTTCAAGACCCTACTCACATGTTACCTCCTCCAAGAAGCCTTTCCTGACTCGACAGGGCATAGTTAGTGCCCCACCCAGGGAGCACCCAGGGTCCAGTTCTGCTCAAGTCCCTTCGGGCATGAGTGGTGATCCGTAGCTCCTTAAGGACAGGAACTGTGAGAATGAAAGAGCTGGACTCAGGGACCACGTGGAGAAATAGGAGCCGAAAAAGACCAGGAACACCCAGGGCAGCCAGAGGTTTAAGTCCCTGCAGAGAAGAGAGACCTTCCACCTTCAGCTGTCGTCCTCGGGCTTCTCCTGTGTGAATCCATGGGTTCCTTTTCTGTTTCCTGTCCCGTGTGCATTTCCTTCCTGCCTATCAGACCTCAGCTGTTGGAGGGCTTGGCACATCCCCAGGATGCGTTTCAGAGGTGAGTTCCAGACTTGGGTTGAGGGGTGGGGCCAGAAGGCTTGGGCTAGGTAAGCTGCAGCTGCCCATGCGTTCCACACCCACTAGAGGGCGTTGCTCCCCTCCTCCAGCCTTCCTGGAAGGGGAAGTAGACTGGACTTCCAGAGGGAAGAAATTAAGGCAGGGAAGCTCCTAGTGTGCAGTCTCACCAGACTGAAGGGCACACACACCTAGGACAGCTTGAGGACAGCAAATCTGGCATGGCTGGACACTTCTTCCCCGACACCGACATAAAGACCCACACTGCACACACTACACATCACTACATGGAGACACACAGCCCTGTTGTGGGCAGTGAACACACACACACACACACACGAACTGCTCTTCCTCCCTCCTCCATTCTCTTAACATTCTCTCCTACCTCATCTGGTTCCAGTAGACAAGTCCACATTTTTCACAGTAATGGGGAGGTGAGGAAAGTATTAAGCAGCCCATGCAGACCCCCGAGCATACACAGAGGGTCCCAGGAGAAGTGCCCAGGCAGACACACTTGCAGAACAAGCTCAGTTCTGAACCCTCTGTCCAAGGATGAGACCCTTCCCCATGTCCCTTCCTACCCAGTACCTCTCTTAAGCTGTGTGTGACCACTCAGTGGTTTCTGACTTTCTCCACATCTTTCTGAACTCCCACCACCCCTTACATTTGTGGAATGTTTCATGCTTTTCAGTTGATGTCTCATGGGATCCGTACACAACCTGGTGAAATAAGCAGGTTTGAGTAACTTCACTCCATGTGACAAATGAGGAAACTGAGGCATGATGACATGGAGAGCAAGTAGTGGGCTTGAGACTAGAAGTAGGGCATCCCTCTCTAAACCCCTTCCTTCCTCTCCATCCTGTCACTTACCCGTCACTTATTTACTGAGTATCTCTATGCTGAGGACACGGGAGAACAAATAAAGGACTGGCCTCCTGCCCTGGTGGAGCTTACTATCTGGGGGGAGACGGCCATTGGCTTTTAAAAATCAAAAAATAAATATTTAATTACAAACTCTGATAAATGCTATGAAAAAAATATGGTTCCCTGGGGGTGAATGACAGGGGGTCTGACCCAGCCTGGGGAATCCAGGAAGGCTTCTCTGAGGAAGTGATGTTTGCAATGCAATCTAAAGAATAAGGAGGAGAAAGTAGGTAAAGGTCTGTGGTGCACATGGCGGCGGGGGGGGGGCAGTATTCCAGAGAACAGAGTCGTGCAAAGGCCCCGAGGGGAGAGCTGGGAGGAGGAAGAGGATGTGGCTGGAGAGCAGGCAGGACCAGACCCCTTAGGGCTTTGAAGGCCAGGTAAAGATTCTGGTCCCATTTCCCATGGAAGGATTTCAAGCGATGAGAGCAGTGTTTTGAAGAGACCACCCTGGAAGACCCTGAGGGGTTCCAAAAGATCTGCTAGGAAGCCATTGCCACAGTCCAGGGGACATATGGAGTGGTGGGGCGGCCTGGAACGGGGGATAGAGCAGAGATGTTTAGGAAGCAACACTGGCACACCTGTTAAGGGAAGTGAGGGAGGCAGAGTGTCAGGGATGATTTCTACTGTGCATAAGTGAGCGAGTGGCTCACTAGCTCAGGAGCACAAGCACAGGATGGGTTTGGGAGCTAACATGATGAATTTGGCTTTGCACGTGCAGGTTTCCTGAAGCCATGGGGACATCCAAGTGGAGATGCCAAGTGAGAAACTGGCCACTGGGGCTGATGCTAAGAGGAGAGAGTTTGGGCTGAGATATACATTTGGAAGTTGTTGGTGTGTAGCTGGCAATTAAAGTCACGAGTGAAGATGAGACTACCCAAGAACAGAATATAAAGTTTTTTTAAAAAGACAGATAGAAAAAAGGCCTTATTTGGCAGCATCTACTAAAGCTAAACAGAATCCTAACCTGTGACTTAACCACAGCTCCTAGTTATATACCCAGGAGAAATAAGTGCATATGTCAGCCGAAAGACATGAACAGGAATGTTCATAGTAGTTTTATTTACAACAGCCCAAAACTAGTAACCATCCAAATGTCCAGCAAGAGCAGAATGGATTTTTTTTTAAAAAAGCATGTTATATTTATATAGTGAGATACTACACAGCACTGAAAAAGAACTAATTACTGCTACATATGAGACTGAATCTCACAGATATAATCATGAGCAAAAGAAGACAGACACGGGGGAGGGTATAGCTCAGTGGTAAAGTGCATGCTCAGCATGCACAAGGTTCTGGGTTCAATCCCCAGTGCCTCTACTAAAAATAAACAAATAAATAAAATAGAATAAATAAATAAACCTAATGACCCCCCCAAAAAAGGACAGACACAAAAATGTATATACTGTGTGGAGGATACATATAGTCCAGGAAGTTCGAGAACTGGTAATAATTGTCTATACTGACAGAAGTCAGAATGGCGGTTAACTCTTGTGTGGTAGCATTGACTTGGAAAGGGCCCAAAGGAACTTTCTGGGGCACTGGAAATGTTTTACACTTTTATACTAATGTAAATATCTACTGATGTAATATGTAAAATTTCACATTGTAATATACACCAATGTAAAAATATACTAATGAAAAATTCATCACACTAGACCATTAAATCACAGCTTCATGATTTAAAAAAAGAGGAATGCTTGGAGTTGAGACTTGAGAAGCGCCAGTATTTAATGGCCAAGAGGAATAGGATGAACTGGCAAAGAGACAGAAGGAGGAAAATCAAGACAGTACGGTTGTCAGAAAAGAGAATCAGGCCAAAAAGAGGCGGTGGTCAACCATTCTGAATGTTTTTTGAGAGCTCAGGGACAAGAAAATGTTTGCAGGTTTTGGAAACATGGAGGTCATTAGTGGCCTTAGCGAGAACCATTTTGGTGAAGTGCTGGGGCCAGGGGAGGAAGGTGGCCTGGGGAGGATTAGAGAGTGAGGCAGAGATGAGAAAATGGAGACTCTGGAACACATACATCACTTTTAAGAATTCTGTCTAAGAAAAGAAGCAGAGAGATAGTGTGGGAGCTGGAAGGGACTTTGGAGGTGAGAGATGTTTGTTTTGGGGATTTTATCTTAACCTAAAGCCTGATACATAGTAAGTGGTCGATACATGTGAGCCGTCATGTATCCCATGCATTTTAAGATGGGAGAATCTTAAGTATGTTTCAGTGTCCACAGAAAGGTTCCGCTGGACAGGGAGAGACTGGCTATAAAGGAGGGAGATCAGATGGAAAGAACAGGTTGCGATTTCAGCCTAGGTAAGATGGATGTTTCCCTCAGGGGGTGGGGACCCAGAGGAGAGGGCAGATTTTGTGGATGCTTCTATCTTCTCTGTGAAGCAGGAGGCAACGTCATCTGCTGAGGGTGAGAGAGGGGCAAGCAGGGGTGTCGGTTTGAGAAAAGTGGAGAAATTTACAGTAATCATTGGGGAGAGCAAGTTGACCAGGAAAACACAATGGGGTTGCCAGGCAGCACTGCAGGCCCATTTAAGGATGCTGATTTTGAACAAAATGTGATTCCAAGCTGGCCTGTCGTGTGACTTCCTCTGATAGAGCCTGGTGGAGGAAGCAAGTGGTAGGTGCATCGAAGGTTGGGACTTGGCCAAATGGTGCACTGAAGTGCCAGAGGAGTCAAAAGACTTGGTGTCCTCAACCCGAAGCTGGGTGTCTTCTCTTTTGCACCTCTTCTTTCCCTTCCTGCCTCACCACACTGCTTCTTTACAGAGCATGGGCAGCTGGACAGCAGGCACCCTTCTCTGCCACACACACTCCCGTTCCTATGGTCACACACAAAGAACCTCAGCTCAGAAGATCTGAAGTCAAGGTTCCACTCTGGCATTTACTAGCTGTGTGACCTCAGGCAAGTCACATAACACCTCTGAGCCTCAGTTTCCTCATTTTTCAAATGAAGATATTAACATCTTCCTGCCCCCGAGAATTATGAGGATCATAGGAGCTAAAGGGAATTTATAAATTGCAAGGCATGACTGAAAGAGATT